TAATAAGCCGCCACAGAAAGAACTTCCATGACAATCGCGTAGGGAAATAACTCTGAACTCCCAGCCACTTTAATTAATGGAAACGCGCTCACGTATGAAGTGTGCCTCAAAGTATGGTCGGGGTAGACCAATAGGAAAACAACAGTAGTAGACTGATTGACGGCTACAAATGAGCGGAAAAACTTGCGAGGCACTGAAAGCCTAAATCAATATTGATTATTCAGAATTTATGGTGGTTCTTTGAAAGACTAAGCCTAATTTTCTCCATTTTGGTAATAACTTCTGCACTAGAATGCCACCATGAAAAACAATTTATTTCAGGAATATTTGGCTTGATTTGCGGGGAGAAAAAGCTTCACGCCATTTACACTTTGTATGAATTATGTCAGTGTCTGATGAAGAAAAGTCCTCGCCTATGAGGCGTCTAATATGTTATCTTCATTTTCCACTGATCATGCAAAAGCTTTATTAAACACTCAAATTCTAACACTATGTATGAAACTTGTCTCATGAAGCTAATTAAAACGGCACATGTAGCGCTAGTGACCTACAATTTAGTTTGAGAAAATCTGAGATCATAACCAGAAGAACATAGATAAAATTCCTATGAAAGCGCTTGGAATTAATATTTTTGTTTTGCCTAGTATGCCCGTTTATCATGAAAAAAAGCATTATTTTTCATAATTATTTTTATGTGGTGTACATAGTACCAAAAGTGTACTAATCGCTGACCCAAACCCAAATTTCTAAGTCAAGAAGAAAAGTCACAACCGCCTCAACTTTCAGGTAGATTTCCCTACGGTGGGTATACCACCTGCTGTTGATATTCTTTCTTGCAGAGATCTTTTAAGCACTAATTCGTGTGCCGAATTACATGGGAATATGTTTCTCAGTATGCTCATGATGGTTTGACGAATTGGTCTTATCCTCCAACAGTAAATAATAGGATTCAGAGAGGAGTTGAAAAACATTACAGTCCGTGAGTAGAAAAGGGAATTGTCTTCACCTTTACGTACCACATATAAAATTATGCTACAGTACATCGGCAGATAACAAACTAAAACTAAAAGATACACATACAGTGCACTAACAGCAGATTTTCTTGGTTTTGCTGCCAGTGCTGCTTGCTGTACCTGCAAGTCTGCCTGGATCTGGTTTCTGTGGCGTTTAATAGCTTGAGATAATCTCAAATTAACAATTGTCATGTAAACGAAACAAAGACTCCAAACGATTGCGACGAGAGAGAAGACTTTGTATATGTCTTTCCAAATCCAAACTAGTGAAATACCTACACTTAATATCCATATCAAGATCACTGCACCAACGACACGTTTGTGGGTTACAAGTTCCTTATATCTGAGATGAAGATGAACAGCCAGGAATCTGTCCATACTCAGAGCGATGACACTGAGAAGTGAAGCAGTGCATAGAGCACATACAATGACCAGTATGGTGGATGTCAAGGCATGGTCTGCGGTGTTTTGCTTGGACCGAATGACAATTAGTATAATGTATAATGGTTGAGCTAACAAACCAGCAATAAGATCAGAGACTGCAAGACTCAGGAGAAGTGTTTTGAAAGGAGCCGGTAAGGATGAAGTTTTCCTCAAAGCGTGAATTGTAAAAGAGTTGAACACAATGGCGGAGAAGGATGTGAAGGCGTTCAAGACGAGATTGACGATGTGCGAGACTTCCATGCTGTGCTGAAAAAGAAAAATACTTTAAGCGTTGGCACAGAGAAGTTTATGGTTAACTATCTTATGCGCCGATTTCGGGCTTATGAACGTGATACGCTTTAATGATGAACAGCTGCTCACATCTGAGATATTATGTTCATGGATTCGTTTTACATACCTGATCTAAAAATAACGTACCCTTTCAGATGCCGATACCACTTCAAGTCGAAGTCCTTCATCTAAGCTTGATAGAATCAAGAACAACAGGGAGGTTTTGCAATTTTATCATCGTTGATGTCTGGTAATATTTCAATGATTGATCTTCAAGAAGGGTTAATGAATGATAAGATAGACGAGGATGGTTTCTTTAATATACATATTTTTCATATGCACTTTGTTAAATAAATTCCATATTTCCATTTTATTCAATGAGCATAGGGGTGAAAAGAAAACGAAATTTAGACTTCGGAATCAGAATCAAACTTGGACTGAAATTTTCTTAAGTCAGAAATGCATTAACTGTTTTTTTGGCAGTCTTTTTCGAGAGTTAGTGGGTAAACTTAAATCATGTGTAAAAGAGAATAATTCTCAAAATGTATAATTTTAACTAAAAATCAAATTACGCAACGTAGCCGATTGTGGTACGAGTCAATTCGATCGAGGGTGGGTTCACCTGTCCTTTTAAGAATTAGCTTTTTCCAATGAATAAACAATTGCCACACGAAACTACTTGAGAAAGCTTTGGTAAGGAGTGCTGAGAAAAAATTGCACTTAAGCTTTAGTCAACGATTATATTTTCTTCCTTCTGTTTGCATTTCTGTATATGTGTCCAAAAATAGAGGAAGAACCTCTCAAACTTAAAGTTATTTCTGCTTTAATTATTTTTTGTCAATTAATGATATTTTCAAAAAGGAACCCGCGCTGACGTTTTTGACATAATTTGTTTTTGGTTCAGGTTATTTTCTCGAATTCTCCTCAGTCCAATTGTAAGTGAACAGAGTAATATTAAGACCAAACTGTGAACAGGCAATGCATTTTTATGTTTTTGTAGTACTTAAAAGAAAGGATATTCATTATCAGGATGGAATGAATCATTTCCCTTTAAAAACTGTCGTTTTAAAAGATTTTTTACGGTCTTCTTGTTTAGTGAGGAAGTGAAACTAATTTAAATACATATTTATGACGCTGTACTCCGTCTGCCTCGCTAAACATTCATTAAATGTTAGAACAGTGCGACAGAAGACGTTTCAAAATAAAATTATGGCGGCTTAGATTATCTGTTATCGCCTTCAATTAACTCTGAATTAAGCAAGCATCGAGAAGACTACGAAAAGTTTCGGGTAATTTCCGGAAATTTGCATATGATAAATACTTTTTATTATAGGGTTAACTCAGGACGAACTGAACGGATATCATCTCCCGTTCATGATGTTGTCATTGTCCCGTCATTGTCGCTAGCGACATAAGGTCTTCTGAGCACTACCCAGGGTGTACTTTAAATTTACTTTGCTTAGACTTTCTCGGTCCTTTTCTTGTTTAATATGATCGCGACGACGGGATAATTTATTCCTCCAAAGTGATTGTCTTCTATTTCCAGTAACAAAGAGTGTGATCTCCTTTTCATCATTGAGGCTTTTGATCGAAGCTCTATTCTGTTTTAAGAAAATAAACATAAGAACGTTCGTACTTCAAAATGGACTGATTAAATGATGTTTATATTGATCTTCATTCTAATTTTGCATATGTTGCCGGCAGTGGCGTATCGAAAGTTAATGGGTGGGAAGGGTAGGTTTTGAGTTTGATCTTCCATTAAACATGGCTTCTCATGAAAAGCATTGTTTTCGTTAATTTTCCTGGTGGGCAGTTTTGCACAATTAGAAGCCAAGCTTACCTTCTGCCGCTGCTTAGCCAGTAGAAAAAGTCCCTCTGGGCCAAGGGTGGTTGAGTGGCAAAAGCAAGAGCCTGGGCTGCAGAGGGGGTGGAATCGACAAGGAGGTGCGGGTTTGTTTTGCCAATTCTTAACAGAAATAGTTAAAGATGCGAACCATTAATAAAACATAACGAGAACAAAAGCAAAGGATAGACAGAAAAAATAACGAAACAAATTAACAAACAGGTGTGTTACTCATAAAGCTTGAGGTAAAACTAATAAGAAATCCTTAGGAAAGTTGAATTTTCTGCTTTGAGCGAATCTGAACCTCAGAGATCAGGAGTTTCCTCTTGTATTAGAAGAAAATTATTTCATCTCAAAATTACCAGATATCATGGCAAAAATTTCAGGTGTATTCATGATAGTTTTCCTAAACAGCTTATCGTAGCTATGGTTACAAAGCGCGCTAAGGGTCTCATGTCGAAATGACAAATAACTATTTTTCGAGTTAAAAACTCCAAAGCTTAAATTATCTCCAAACAGTATGTCGAGGGGAATAACATAAGGTGCGAAGAGTCGGTTAACTCATTCAAATTTGTTCAACGAATCGAAAAATCAGCCACGAAACCGGATACATAAAATGAATTTAAGGCTAAAAAGTGCAGCTGTAAAATTTGCAATAGAAGTGAGACATATAATTATGTCGATCTTCGTTAATTGAGAATCTTCCAGAAATAAATTGATGCACATTTAGTATTCGGAAAAAACCGGTGAGCTAATGGGGTCTAACTTTCACCAAGCTGTTTTATAAAAAAGCGATAAAAAAATTTTTAGTGTCGTGATGATTCAGATTTTTACATAATCGAAGCCATAAAAACTCTTCAATAAATAAAATTGTTCCTGGCAGTATCCGGTTCTTGGGTCTACTCATTTCCTTTTTTCCAATAACTGCTGTGAAAACTACGACAAGTGTGTATTGAATGTCATTTGGATTCGTCTCGGAAGAAAGGGCTGGAGAATTAATACTGGATCTTTATTTGTTTAAAGACTTATAAACTTCTAGTGTAGAACCACTATTAAAACCAAATTCACAACTACAACAAAAAAAACACAAAATTAAAATATAATAGCTTCCACTCGAGGAGAAGAAAAAGCATTTTGAAAAAATAGAATTTCTGATTTCCCTGAAGTCATTTCGTCGGGGAGTTGTCGGCAACTCCTCTGAAAGCAACTAAAAGGTCAATTCAAATTTAATTAGATGTTTGTAGGTTTAGCCACGACGCTGTATCAGTCCGTGTATTTTTATCTTCTATAATGACTTATGCAGCCATGAAAAATTTGAACGTTTCCTTGTTATTTTGTAAAAGCTCTCCTATAGATTTTAGTGCAAGACAACGTAGACAGCTGAAGCGCTTTCATTCATTTTTGAAATTCAAATTCAAATTATCACCATGCTTAACATTTATGTTCAAACTATATCGACCTTGGCTTTGAAGATATGTACAATAGTAACCAATACGTTTTGATATATACCTTTCCATGAGTGCATTTAATTTAGAATTTCATAAATACAAAGCACTTATTTTCTGTGGCAATGTCATTAGCAGCGAGCAATTGAAATATTCTCCTTCAGGCCGGCTCCCTACTTTGTTGTTGTCCTTATCATTTAAGATCAATTTCGAGTATTACAAATGGATCATCATATTACTACTTAATGCAGGCTGTTAACTAAAATAGTTGTTAGGTTGTGTTATTGTATCCACTCTTATAATAACTTTCAGGTGCAACATTAAAAAAGGTTTAACTTGTTTTCATGCTATGTTGCTTACTTTCTGCACGGATGTGTATTTCTGAGAATGTTAATGATGGTGTGCCGAATGTGTCTCATACTCCAACAATAAATAACCGGGTTTAAAGATGAATTCACACACACAAGAGTCCAACTGTATAACCTAAAGGTTTTTAAAGAATCCGAAAGCTCGCCATGGCTAACAACCATATTAGTGCAGTATTCAGGCAAACAACAGACTAAAAACACAAGATAAACGTAAAATGTGCTAATGGCAGTTTTCCTCATCCTTGCAGTATGCTCCATGTCACCGACATTCTGCTCGGTTCGCCGTACTTGCAAGGACTGTATTTCCCTCAAGTGGCGTTGTACAGCGAAATAAATCCTGCAGTAAACTAATCCTGTGCAAATAAGACAGAACCCTAAAACTACAGGAAAATAATTTTGAAGGAAAAGAAGCGACCAAAAATAGCCGGTTACTGCAAGAAATACACTAAACATCCAGATTGATATCACGGCCAAAACAGTGCGTCTCTGAGTGACAAGCTCTTGATATCTGAGATGAAGATGTACAGCCAGGAATCTGTCCACGCTGAGGACAAAAACACTGAGTAATGAAACAATGGAAAAGGTGTCCGCGATGGCATACATGGCATTATCCGTTGATTTGTCAACAGGATCGGCGCCTTTCAGCTTTATAACTAAAAGCACAACGTAATAAGGTTGTACAAAAATGCCGACACCCAGATCTGAGACAGCAAGACTCAGCAATAATGTTCTCAGCGGCCTCGGCAGAGACGATGTTTTTCTCATCGCGTAAATTGTTATGATGTTCAACACGATAGCGGTGTAGGATAATAATGCGTTGAGCACACAATTGGTGACCATTGAATGATACAGGTCCTCAGTGCTTGTCATTGTTTAGGACACAAACGGAGACCGAGCGGCTTTACAGATAATGCGAGGCTTGTCGAACAGGACACTAACAGGGTTGATCGTTGGACAAAATATTAACCTCTCAAGAATCAAAGACTCTTTAAATTATCTGTGACTCCCCGGTGCTCTCGACTGACGAATTTGACGTTAATTGCCATCTACCAAACCATATTTTGGCTACCTCCCATGATCCTGCAAACATAAAATTGAGAAAACCTTTTCAGGGTATATTTCCAGTGTATGATATATTTTGTTTTACCATTACAAAGCAAGAGGAAAGGTCAATTGATAAAGTCTTTCTTTTATGCATTTAGATTCTGTATTTCTCGCTTGTCTTTGTCTTTTTTATAAACATCAGAGGGTGAAATAAATATCGAATTGGCTTTTGAATTTACATAGAAATGTCAACAAAGTTTGAATTAATCCGATTTACCCGGATTCAGATGGAAAATATTTATTTCATCTCTTTCGCGGAAGCGTTTCCTCAAGTTTAATTTCCGTTGAAACCCCATTCTATATTTCAACAATTTTGAACAATCACTATACGTGATAAATTTACAGAAAACCGATGGCAGTTTCAAGGCGGATTCATTGACTGTAATGAACAGATGGCCTATGCTAATTAGTTATGCCACGTTTATTCCAAGTTAGAGCAAAATACGAAATCAATCAGACAACAAGGGTGTCTTTGTCCTGTTCCTATAAATTGATCGTATGAAAGCTTTTTCAACTTCAATGATGTCCTTGATAATAGTTTGATCGCGCATAAATATTATTTCCGTGGAGATGAACTTGGAGATGTTCTGACTGAAGGCTTAAATGTTTTGATATGTAAAGTCAGATGTAACTCAGTTTTTATTGATCTCCACAGTGAAGTGTTTTGTAATTAAACGTTGGTTTGGGCCGCTGGCCCTTCAAGGTTCCTGAAAAAGATAACTCAGGAAGTTTATTTGATTCCAAGGCAGTTGAGGAAGTTTCTAAGGAGCCTTTAAGGAGTACGCAAGACTACGTGTTATGTTAAACGTCACTCGTTTGTTTTAACAAATAGTAATCGCTGTTTTCTTACAAAATAGAAGATTGATATCGTTTACTTGTAGCTTTGGAGCTTCTGAATTGTTTTCCTCTCAACAGGCCTCAATTAATATCTGCAAATATGAATCAATGGTGCAATTATAGCAAAAAAATTAAATTTACAAGCAACCTTTCAACGTCCTCAAGATATTATAATATTTTTAATTTCAATTTACACGAGAAAAAAAATAAATTGACCATCTTCGCAGGTACAAATGTCTGGATCAATAAATGCTTTTTTCTAAGTGATCGAGAAAGTGCAATTTATTGAATCCTGCTGTTTCTAATAGACCAGAAAAGTAGGCGGGGTTTTCTAATTTTGTCTTTGTTAGAGAATTGCTAGCGCATCCAAGCTTAAAAAGAGAAATCAATCTTCAAAAATTCACAAATGTTTAAACGATATGCAATTATAAAACGCCGACCAATGTCGTTTATTTGTTTGTTGGAGATGAACCAAAGGATCGAAATTTCAATGGACTCCTGTTCAGCGATTGATAAACAATCAGTCATTTCATTTCACATCTCGGAACATCAAAGAAGACCTTAACGGGAGTATTAGCATAACAGAAAACCCCACAATTAATAAATTTTGCCTTAAACAGCGTGTATTGAGTTTCAAGCCTTGAACCATGCCCAAATTCTGCCGAATCCGCTCTTATCTTCTGGCTTTGTTTCATTAAAACCCTCAAAGCTTTGAGAGGTTCCATGTTTTAATTGCCAGATGATTCCGGCTTCTTAAAAGCAGAATCGCTTTTCAGTGTAATAAACTGTCGACTGGATTCTTAAAAAAAAATCGATAACATTATATGCCTAACCCTTTCAATGCGTTTCTCGTACAGATGGCGGTTTTTTTCTTCCATTTCTTCTTTTGCTTGTGATGTTTGCAAGCAACTTTCTGATATACAGCATTGAAAATGAAGGTTTACCTGTGAGTATCAACCACTGGTCAGTTCGTCGCCGTCAGAATTATTAATTATAATGGTTCTCTGATCGATCAGCCGGGCCAGTTGTATTTAAATGAGAAGGTGACACTTCCCCGTGTTTTTTCCGATTAGTGGGTTGACAAATTCCGAAGGTTATTCTACAAGTAGAAGGTCAACGAGTAGTAGATTAAAAATTGTAAAAGGAAATACGGAAATGCATTAATTAGTTATAGGGAGTAGCTCAATATGATAATCACAAGGATTTATGATCTATTGGCTCTCCAACTAAAGTTATAAGATGAATACAAGGTACAAAGGCAAAAACTTCGTAAAAAATGATATTAACCATCAAAGATATGATTAATGCTCCTTAGGTAATATGATTTGAAATGAGTATGAGAAATTTTAGCTCAATAAATGCAAAGCTAACCATTAATGCATAGGATAATGTCATTGTTAGCTGGCAAAGCTTCTAAACGAATGGAATGTCCAAGTTTTGTATCTAAATTTTTCTTAATCTTGGCAAGTAGTAACTTCCTGACGCTTTTACTCTCTCGATTGAACTTTGGACAAGAATCACTTGTAAGTATACCTCATAAAAAAGGAAATTATTTGTCTCTTGTTTCTTTACCCATACATGTGACCCTTAGGGAAGTAAAAATAGTTTCAAACAAAGCTGTTGATGTTATCTAACCATTCGAATGATATCACGGAAGTTTAGGCGATTGTGGTTTTCCCCGCCCATCAGTATTTTCCTTCGTTATGTTTATATAATGTCTGAAAGGTTATTACCTTTCAGTTTTCCCCGTGGCCATCGTGGGAAAGTTAAAAAGGAGTCGTTTATTGTATAAGTATATGGTAATAGTGAAAAGTTGTAAATAAACTTTAGTACGAACTGAGTATGACTCTTATTACAACCAATACAAAGTAAGGGCGATAAAACGCTAAATTTTGGCAAAGCTTGTTATCAAGCTCGGTTGTCATAGGAACATTAGTTATACTGTATAACTAAAAACGATTACCTTTCAAACTTGGTTCCAAATTTAAGAAATTGTTAAGACGTTTGGGAAGACCGATGAGAGGGTCTCATGATTTTGATATCAACGATTTAAAGTTTGTAATTCATTCGGGTTTTAAAAATTTCGGGTCGTAAGTTTTCAACTTGGACCGGCTGGCAGCATCTGAATTAGAATGTAATTAACTTGGCTAGAAAACGGATAAAATGAGGTAAACAGGTTCTAGTTTTCTACCAATAGTATGTCACCTTTAATACGAAGGCTTATCATGTCTATTGACAAGCTGTCTGTCAAATTCAACGCCCACTCAATTTCCGTAAACTCTCGAAATTATTAGATTGTTTATAAGGCCACTGGCAAAAACAATGTACAACAGATATTTCGAAGTCACATAAATTTCCCTTCAATGCAAGCTGCAAAGTTACCTTTCAAGGCCCATGAAGTATTGTTGGAAAATGAATATTGTGTACTTTTGAAGTGTTACCTCTGAAAGAATAGATACTAGTTTTCAATTAATTTAAAAATTAATCGCTCTAAGACTCTCCTTGGCATTTTTAATAAAGCTACAATTTTCAATTGGAAGTATTTTGAAGGCCTAATTATCAATATTATTTTCAATTGTTACCAAACGATCATGACCGTGTCTGTTGACCAGCGTTTGACACTTAGAAATTTCCGCTATGCATTTCACTGTTTTTAGTTGACTGCCCTCGAACAGATCATAGTATATATTCATACAGCTAATTTCTCCCTTCTTCAGCAGTCTTCTAGAGGGTGTAAACTTAAATATTAGTTGTTCTAATGTTGAAATGTCATAATCATCCAGTGAGAGACATTTATTGTATTCGAAACTTTAACATTTTTTTCCACCACTAGTCCATGATAGAAAAAAGCTTTTTCCTTCACTAAATAGCAGTTCAAAACATCGATAAGGGACTCCTCTAATCAAGTACATAGGGACTGTATTTCTATTTTTAGTGCCAAAAATCCCGATATGAGGTCTTAAATCAGTTTCAATACGACGCACTGCATCCGCATTAGACTATGTCACAAACAATATTGCTGACCTGAGGCAGACAACACCAGTGAGCAGTGGGTGGGAATGTTACTGAGATTTTGACTAAGATTTTCAAGAACGTTATCGGAATCGACTGCTGATAAGAAATCGCTTAAAGTGCGGCCTTGAGTGACAAGCTATAGAAAGGTTAAAATCGAACTTGAACTATTTAACAAATAGAGCCAATATTTCGGCATATTTTTAAATAAAAACTTTCCAGAATAAGTTCTGTCCAGTTTTTTTTATATGTTACGTGCTCGGCAAAAATTTTCAACTAGATCTGTAAGTTTTTCTTTGTGTGAAGAGGCCATGTGTTCCACTGGGGGACCCTCAAGGGGTGACGTATAACGTGAACAGCTGTTCTTATTGTTTTACAATATATGATTTTTATAAACTGATAAGTCACTCGGAAATTGATTCAAACGAACGAAACGAAAGAAAAAGCGAGCCTATTTTTTTACTTTGAAATAGGAATATGGCACGTGAAGAGCGATAGATTACGATGGAGCAACTCTTATCTAGCATGGTTACTGTAACTTACACGTGTTGATTTCATATAACGCTGCAAGGTCATTTGTGCAGCAAATACGCATAGTGATTATGTGGGAGTATTAAAAAGTTAAATACATATTCATTTATACACATGTGAATCTTCATGACTCAGTTTAGTTTTCATCGAAATACATACACTTTATCTTTTCCTGTACTAAAACAATTATTCACATCTACTTCGGTGAACAATTGATAACTAGTTCCAGTCAACGTCAAAAAAGATATCATTTCTCTTTTTTTTTTTATATTTTATTCAGTGAAATCATTCTTTTATCAGCTTGTTGCGAAATGTTGGTTTATTTCGCTCATTAGCCTACTACCCTTCCTCCCACAGGGTAAAAGGCTCGGTCTTTGTGATATTACTGCAACTTCATGTTGCACAGGATATCATTTTATTACTTATTAATAATTTACATGAAAAAGCATCACAGAAAGTCAAGAAAGACGAAATTTTAACAGCACTATCAGATCAGTAATCAGAAGTGCATAATTTTTTATGTGTATTATTTCACCATGACTTCGACTGACTTTGTATCAGTACGACACAGAAACCAAAATATTAGTTTATTTCTGTCAATATACCAAAAACGTGTCGGAAATTGAACTCTTGACGCGCGACTTTGTCTCATCTGCTGCTCGTGTCGACTCGTCGGTGAATAATACTTGCCATTCATTTCCCAACTAGCCAATCAGCGCGCGCGAGAAGCTCTATTTACCTGTGTGGTGAATTAAAATTAACGTCTCAATTCAACAAAATTAACGAAGTTATATCTCAGTTCCACTTCACTGGATCGACATGTAACTCGTCAGATTATTATTTTCACCCGGTTTTTGTGTATATAACTAACAGAAAAGTTCATACATCGGCGGGTGATCGACTCCGGCACAACTGGATAAACTTCATAAAGTGTTCACAAACTTTAAATTTTAAAAAATCTAGAAATCATTACTTCACTTTCTCTTTGTGAAATATCTCCACATTTCATCAGCTATGATCATGAACCCCAAAGACATTCCGATATATATTTCGAAGTATGCCCACAATACTATGTCGAATGTGTTTCACCCTCCAGCAGTAAATAACAGGATTAAAAGAAGAATTTGCAAACACAAGAGTAAAAGTAAACAAATCAAAACCGTCTAAAAATAAGTTTGGTCGACTCTGTAACACATTCAGGATAGCACTACAATAATCTGGCAGGTAACAAATCATAAATACAACATATATATAGAAAGTACTAATGGCAGATTTCTTCAGCCTCAAGAAATTCTTCATTTCGTCATTTTGATTCTGAAAAGCTTGCCCTAAGTGCAAAGCTTGCATTTGAATTTCAAGGCGTCGCACAGTACGATAAATTCTGAAATAAAAAAGTGACACACAAACAAAACAAAATCCGAAAATAGTAATTTCCAGTAGGTCGATTACAAAGTCGCTCGGTAACCACAACAAACTTAAAGAAAGAAATGTGCTCAAAAGCCAAACTGAGATGACCAGACCAACGACACGTTTGTGAGTCACAAGTTCTTGATATCTGAGATGAAGATGAACAGACAGGAATCTGTCTAAACTTAGAGCCATGAGACCCAGAAACGAAGCGTAATAAAATAAACTGGTGATCACGTCGAAGATGTTATTAAGGAGGTTGTCCTCCACGTCATTGATCCACTTAAACAGAACTGCAATATAAAGAGGTTGAGCCAGCAAACCAACACCAAGATCAGAAACAGCAAGACTCTGCAGTAATATTCTTAAAGGCTTTGGTAACGACGATGTTCTTCTCAGCGCTTGGATTGTTAAACTGTTCAACATTATGGCTGAGTAGGACGAGAAGGCGTTTAGAACGCAATTGGAAACGTAAGATGAATACAGTGGGTCTTCAATTTCTGTCATCACTTAATGGAGTTATTTCAATTGCAAAATTCAATTCTTGCTGCTTTGTCCTTCAAATAATGAAAGTTTCCTTTCCCTCGCGGCTGATACAAATTTGCATTAGAACCAAACTTATTTTCATCACAACTACGTGGGGTGCCTATCGTCTGCTTACGACAGGAAAAAATATAAGCGAAACTTTTCAAGAGTCCTCGGGGAAAATAAAATTCGCCGTAATCGGTTAGTTACCTCTGTCAATTTGGGGTAAATTACTGATTTCTGATTGGTTTAAGCAGAGGTCGATTTGGTTAGGGGAAATAACCATTTCCAAAAGTAATAAAAGCTTTTTGTAAATCATTTACGACTCGTCGCGTATTTATCATATTAACTAAACTCTTTTTGTCTTCATGGAAACTTGTTTACTACGTACATTACTTCTTTATGATTAGTGGTAATGCATCGATGAGCTGTTGGAAATGCGGGAAGTTGACACATTATCCAGGTCTCAAGCGTTTTTTTCGCTCACATTCTCGAGGAACAACACAGAACTCATGTGTTTATAACCCTGAAGATCATTTGCCATGTTTAACATTCGTTCGCGCAGAATGATTAGCGATGTGCCCCAGGCTCTTTTCACTTTCTACTTTCTGCGGACGATTTTTCATGGAGCAAATATTTAACCAACCAGAAAGAAAAACATCAAGATAAAGATAAGTTTATGGTCAGCCGTACTTATCTTAGAAATTTATCTCTCCTATAGAAGGAAAATTAGCCATATGTGCCTGGAAAAATGGTATGAAAAGTACTAAAAAAAGTTTCGATTATGAAAACCATATTGTTATGTTTCTAGTTCATCAAGCAATATCCATCTGTTAATGCAGTTGCCTGCTGTTATTTGCAGCAGAACGAGGCCGAGTTAATTAGGAGAGGCAAACGGCGGTAAATTTAGAATAAGCTTTCGTCTCCGGGCTGATTATCTCAGCATTTTAGAACCCATTTCCACCTGAATCCACTTTCTAACTACAGCGTGTCTATCAGAATCAAAGGTTTCAGAACTCAACGATGAATGACAGAGGTGGTACTTAAGTTGTGCCATTGTAAAGCTGTAATATTAGAGGAAATGTAAACTGACGTCAGTCTTATACTATACAGTCATAGACCAGTAACAACAAGTAAATACCTTTCTGATACCTTCCTGTAATGGTGGACAACCGCACTGTCAAACATTTCATGAATAAAAGCGAAAAGAATAAAACAGTTGCATTTTCGTACAAATAAAAAAACCAAATTACAGTGGGCGTTGATTTCGTATGTCAATTTATTTTGAAAGTAGAATCATAGACCTTTGAAAAAATAATTATATCCAATTAGATACCAAGACTTTCCTGTATTTTTGGCAAAACTTTAAATAAAAAACATAAATTACCACATTTTATCATAGCTTTTAAAGATTAATTTTCATCATTGTTACTTACATATTTACACAGTTTAAAAGTAATATACTCTTCCGTATGAAATAATTTCGCTTGGGTTCACATTAGAAAATAAGGTTACTCTTATTTTCCTGAACCACTATTTAGGTCTGCCCACACGCTTTAGAATCTCCATTTAATCATCCCCGCTTGGTAATTATTCCCTCTTTTCTTGGTGAGAAACTTTGTCTCAGCTTGTTTGACTTTCACCCATTTTCCCGTTTTTGACATATTTTGATTCAGTTGCGACTTGAGAGCTCTTCTGCTGGAAACAACTCACTCTGTGGAAAATAAAATACAACGGTTCTAAGAATTAATTGAAATTGTTACGAACTGATAAGTTCTTTGTTTCCAACAGTAAAGAGTAGTTAAAATCGTTATCAAAAAGACCTCTTTGACAATTTTTTAGTAGAGCCCGACATGACAAACGCTATTTTGAATTGTGTTGATCACTCCATGTACTCAGGGAGAAATTTCCGCCTTTGCTCCGCCCCTAGATATATGAATAGAAGAAAATAGCAAGACTTTGAGGACAGAGCCAAACTCTGTAGGAGAGGCATGGGATACGCGCTTAATCCACGTTTAATACATAAATCAATCAGCACGAGTAAGTGAATAAATTCAGGTCCATAACAAAACTACGCCATACTTTGAGGGATTTCTAAGCTTAAGTTGTTTGCCTGTCAGCAGAGAAGAGAGGAAATTGCTAAGGAAAGAGGCAGTGTCATACCTCCTTTAGCTCTGGAAAAATCTCTCCCATCAAACTATCCAGGAGAACGTACGTCAGCTTAGAGACAAACAAAAAGCAACGTCACGATTAAGATACTAAGATTCATAATTCAGTCAACTCCCGAATCGTCTCTTGTATCCACTTTGAACTATCTGACTTGATTTGAAAAGCTTTGTTTGTTTTCTGGCTTTTTATTGGATGACGCAATTCTTCATTTCTGCATACATAAATTAACTCTTCTTTTTTATATAAAAGGCGAAATTAAAAAAAAAAAAACATAAACACAAAACACAACACAACGACAATATATCAGGAAACAAAAACCACTGTAAATATGTTCGAAACTAGCCTTGTGGCTCAATTCGTCAGTTCCAAGCGTAAGGTTTTAGAAAACGTAGTCATATAAATCATGCTACGCTCTTCATGAGTTTATTTTCCGTTGCTCTACTGATAATGTCAGGCTGCTTTATTTTCTTTCTTTTAATGGGTAAAAAGGAGTTGTTAAATGACTGAACATCTGGAACAAGTTACTTTAAAAGTATGACGTGGTGCAGAATACCTGTTATCCCGGAATATTGAAAACCAGTTTACATCATCAACCAAAGGATTCCTTTCATTTTAAAGCACAAATGAACACACCAACCTGTTTGTTCAATCTTGGCTGCTGAAGGAGCTCAAACAATGAAGTGATCCCGGTTTTATGTCTGTCAGCTCCAATAACACGTACGGCCATATCTGAAGACAAGTAACAAACAGTACGCACTTAAGCTAAGAATAACACCAGCTCATTGCAAAATGTAGGTGATTTAGCCATAATTTGGGTGGAGTCAAGGTAGAGGTGTGTTTTTTGTTCAAACGCACTCCAGATGGCGAGTGGTCTCGTGTCGTGTACGTTGACTTACACACCTGGTATAAACTCGAGCATTTCTTTCAGAGTCTTTTCACGTCTTTCTAACTTTTGTGTATCCGTTCTAAGAAAAAACCGAGAGAAGTCAATCAAATCAACGAAAATAACTATAGAGATAAATAAGTAAATGAGAAATGAAATGAAATACCAAGTAATCAAACAAACGTGCAATCAAACTCAGTAAAAAAAATGACTTTTACAAACAATTTTTTTTACCGTGGAGGATCTTCATCAAAGAAAAGTGCGTCTACAAGAGAGAGAAAAAATTGTCATAGGCGTGTCTTTGAGTATGTAAAATAATTCAAATTAAGCTAAAACGTTGAATTTTCTTCCACTTGGCTTTGCATTTTTCACCAGGTTTTGATCGCAGTTCTTGATGGGCTCATATCATATGAAAACAATCTCAAAAACATCAAATTGATCTACATCAGAATTTTTGTCACCTCTTAGTAAATGAATTATCATAACCAGGCGATGTTCATTCGTCAACAAATCCACTTTACCAGCTAAATATCTGCAATACAAAAAAGAAGGTAAGGTCAGTAACGGAGAGGGGAATGACCAGATTTTGCTGAGGTTGATATGTTCGCGTTTTAGTGGAAGTCATCTCTTTCACAATAACTCTATCTTTTTGAGAGAAAATAGTTAGCTCATCTTGTATTGCGCCGAATTCACTGTGCATGGAAAAATAAAGGTTCAATACCAGGCTTGGCCGTTATGTTGTGTTCTTTGGCAAGAAACTTCACTCTCATGTAGGCTCTCTCCTCGAGGAGTAAGACTAATTACTGCGGTATTGTGGTGGAAATCAAAATGGGCTCTAGCAGCTATGCATGTCAGTCTCATATTCAGAATCGCTCTGATGTCCTGTTAAAAGTAAAGTTTCATGAGCACCTGTCAGCGTAAACATCTAGGGTCTGTTGAAATGCGACTTTTCCACAAACTAACAAACTGTATAACAAGGCTGGGACATCGAACAGACGTTGCGCTGTGAAAAGGAAAAAAAGAATGAGAATAAATGGTTTGACTGGTAAAAATTCACTGGGGAGGTTTTTCATTATCTCTACAGCAGCAACACCAATCGTCGCATGCTTTCTTGGTTAATTCTTCACAATCCTAAAGCCATTGATCAAATGTAACTTGCGACTTGACTAATGGCGAGAGACCCAACTAAAAAGCATGCGCAGTGGTTTGGCACCAAAGGAATCTAATTTGTCCCACGTACTTCATGTACACTTTAAGGCCAAATTTCATACTCGCAGTCAACTACAAGAACCGTAATAATGAAGCCTTTGAATTACTTTGCCCGCATTTTAACTGTTCACGTATGTAAAAAGTAGCACTTATTATGGACGGTCGGTTGGTCGCACAGGTTGCAACTTCCTTTATACCGCTCACACCACTCAGGCTGGGTGACTTGCAGTACACAAGCATCCCAAGCCAAGACATTTTAATACTACAGTCAAAAAAACTGATCAAATGACTTACCGAGGAACAGGATGTAGTCGGTGACACCAGTCACTGATATCAGCGGCTTTCCTGATGCTGCATAACAACAAAGATTTCGATGATAATCAGCTTTATCCAACACTCATGTCCTACTATAATCCCATGAGCTACACCATGTAAATATGAAAAAAAAAACAAACAAACAAACAAACAAAGTGATTGTAAAATTTTATGGATTAATTGCTCACCTTCCACCTTCAAGCGTAGCGAACTACCCCTAAAAAAAGGAAAAATAATATCAAATGATTAGATAACACTGTCGATTGTACTCATTGTTCCTCTCGAGGATAATAAAGAAGGGTCTACGAACCACGCAATACTTACGATGGTTTTCTCCTTCCTGGAAAAATTCCCTCCTGGATGCAATTCAAACAAGATGTAACACATTACAATGCTTAAAAGGTTTCAAAACCGAAACTTCAAAATCTTTAAAGACATAAGATTGAAGGCTGGTAAAAGCGAGTTTAATTTAGTTTTTTCTTAAACAAATAAAGAATGCAAAAATGGAAATAAGGTAATAACGTATGAAATGAAAGCATACCTCGCTTCTTCTTGACTGAGCTAGAAGACCCCTGCAATAAATAGTACCTAATATTTACCAAGCCGATAATACAGCGCAATTTTGTCTTGAATAAGCGACAGCAAGCCCAGACAGTCGTTTTTTTTGTGCGAGTCATAAGCAATCAGATGTAATATAACTGGTTTTCGCGTACCACTTGTGACTCACGTGACAAGATAAACTAAGAAAGAGACTCTGCTTGTAGTCTGTGATCACGTAGAGTTAATTTGCACGATCGCCTGACATTTACGGTCACATGACTGTAAAACAATTCAGCATGAAGAGAATGACTTACTTTGGCAATGGCTTCCTTTTGGTTGGTTCTACGGTGGATGATAAGAACGATTGTAGAAATGGATCAAGGTTTTGACCTTTCTGTAAAGAGAATCAGAAAAACTTACAGTTTCACGATGGAAATGTTATATCCAGTCCCGCCAAATGAATACTGAAATAGAACTCGGTGTAAGAATGAATGTCATTCACTTTTCTGTACAGCATTTCATAGCCTGTTCTTCAATGCCTACCTCTTTTTTGAGTATTGTTGTCATTGACTTGATCTTTTTACCTAAGAAAAGCGAAAAACCGAGAAATCAGAATAAAAAATATAGAAAAAAAATCAAGCTGGAAATGTATGACAGTGTCCTTTATATTCTTCTGACAGAGAATCATGATGAACCACCAAACTGTATCATGTTTCCTAATTAGCTCCGATTAACTAATTTCTCTGAGCTGCACATATGTTTCAAACAAGCTTTGTTCGCTCACTAACATCGCATGGCTTTATGACTTATCCTTATATTGATTGATTCATGTATTTTTTCATTCATGAGGTAAGTTTCTAAAGAAACTGTGGTGCTATCGCGATGGGTTGAATTATAAGGTAGTTAGTTTTATGAGCTGAGTTTATGATGTAAATTGGCCACCGTAAAGAGTTTCTTACGCTGACGTTTCGAGTGTTTGCCATTCATCATTATGTTACTGATGTACAGAATTTATTAGTAGCACAAAAACAGCATGTAACTTACCCGCTTTATCGCCCATCTTGTCAGGGCCAAACATTTTACTGAATTCCTTTTCTGGTGAAAGGAAGTTGAACAGTAAACCGCTCCCTTTGAGCAGCGGATTAGAACACAAATACTACAAAACAGACAAACCACAAATTATTGCAACAATTCATTCCACGCCATGAGATTCATCATTAATGCTTCATACTGACCTGTAAATATTTCTCGAACTGAACTCTACACGCATCAAAATAAATAGCTGTACTCTTCTGTGAAATTGATTTTGAAGAATTTCGCTTCGGTGGGAGAAGCGAGTCGTCGATTGAACCTACAAAAAAAAATATATGCATTACTGATAGAGGTTTTAAGTGTGTCGTCCAAGAAAAACATATCGTCTTGAGGATCTCAAAGGTGCGTCCCTCCTCTCCGACGGCTGGGTGATAAAACTAACTATGTGCCTACGCTATTTAGTTCTACGAGTTTTTCTTCTGTGGCCTTTGAACACTAACGAATCACAAGTTGACTTGAAGAGCATCCAACGTTTGGTCTCCTTTATTTAAAATTAAAAGATTTACTTCTTTCTGGTGAACAGATTTGGATTCCGCGTCCTATAAATGGACGATCATTAGCAGTAGTTCTAGATGTTCCCACACCTACGCCCAATGGAAGAGCTACCTAAGGTTCGCCCTGTCACGGTGTTTTGTAATGTAAAATCAGATTTACTGTGGTTCGTATATTGCCATTCACGATTGCAGATTGTAAAAGAGGAGACTGACATGCAATTCGCGACGGAATATTGACAACTGTGATTTTGAGAAAATCACCTAATCTGTGTTTAAAATCTATGAGGCTCAGTTGCTGTGCGGGTAGTTCACGCATGCTTAGAAACAGAAACAAAACAGATATAACCCGAGATAAGCCTAGATTCTTCAGTCCAGGCTGACCAAAGGGTAATCTTAGCCTCATGTGGTGGACTGTAGATTCTTTCAGTAAACATGGAATAAACTCCATTACTTACCGTGAAATTCCTGTAACTTGCTTTGAAGAACAAAGAATTCCTTATACCTCCTGTGGATTTAAAATGAACATCACAAAGCAACTTAAACTGTTAAAATCAAATCTGCAATGGCTTAGCTTCTTTGTATAATGACTTGCACAATAATTTCCTTTTCGCAACTAGGGTGATAGAATACGAGCAAACCTTACACTGAAAAAAGGAAAAAATATCACCAATACCTTCACCACTTTCAAAATTGAAAAAACAGGTGGAATCTTTCGCAAACTTCAACTTTGTGAAAAACGTCAAAATTAGTGTTATTCGTTTAGTTCCACTACAAACTAGAGAATGAAAGGACAGCTGTCCAGCTTGAGCCTCTCTTTGTTGTTCAACTAATACAAATCAACTGGTAACTGATAAACTACGAGCATTCTCTTTTTTCGCGTGCACTTCGCTCCCATAGTTTCGCGCGGCGAGCTAACACCGTTGGTTTTTTTCACGGATTTGTTTTTGACTCGTGCTTTTCGCTGAAAAGGATGGACTGCTCGAAGTCTTTGTAGCTGATGACAAACAGTAATTAAAACCTACCGTGCAACATCCCATCGGATAACTGCAAAGAAAAGCAGGAAAAAAAGAGAAATAGAATTCACTGCTTGAGCTTCGACGCCGTTTTCAACAAAACGCAAGCAATAGTAGACCGCTTTACCGGTCCTCGAGAAATAATAAAATTCTTTGGGATTTCCTTCATTTGGATAACTTCACCATTCCTATAATAGGTTGCCACTTATGCGCATTCAGAAAGCGGTTCAGCCATTTTGAAAGAGGTGTGTCCTATTGACAACGAATGAAATAAGAGCTTTGAAAAATACGCGCGGATTGTGGGGGAGCTGGGATGCTTTGAAGGCATTAGTTACCAAAGGTATATGCTGGTTTGATATCCATTGGTATCGTTTCATACTGAACTAAAGGAAATTGAATAGGGCTGGAAAGGAAACACTGATAATCAGAGTTACACTCGAGAAGTAACCGTGGAATGAGCGAATATTTGAAAGAACCTTCGAACATAGCTTTGGAAAAATACTTTACAATTTAGGTGAAAGAAGTAAAAAAATACCTTATAAAGAGCGCTTTGCTGGATAACATCTTTCATCTTAACGATTCGTTTACATGTTGAAATTTGTAGCTTAAAATAGTAATAGTTATAATAATTTTGACTTTTAATTACCGTCTTCTAATTATCAACTTTGTTGCAAAGAAAGCCGCTTTTGGCTGAAACAATACCCCTTTGATTTCAAAAGGTGGCGTCGCTTTACAACAAAGCGATTGTTAGAAAACTTTATACACCGTCGATAGAACATCAAGCGAACCAAAGCCTGGCTCTTAACTTCGATAGAAAGACGATGGAATATGAGAGAATGCGCGATCGGCTTGAAACCTTATATCACCAGCTTGCACACATCGACCTAAGACTTTCACAAAGTGAATTACGGTTACAAATGTCCATGCAACAAACTCAAATAACTCAACAGGCAGCAGCAAGCTTAGAAAACAAGTTCACACAAATATCCAGAGATTTGGTGGAAAAGGAAGAAGGACTCAAAAGTGCACAGAAACGTTGGTCGAAAGCAATGAAAACTATAAGAAGGGGAAAAACATCTGACATTGAGATTAGTCTAGTAAACTGGGCCAAAGTCACTGGAAGATAAACTATTAACTTAGACAACGCATTGAAATGGATGACACGCTATCTCATCGCATTTGAGGACAGGTTAAAATTCGTTGTTTGGTAAAAGTTAATTCTGCCATGTATGTCTTGTTCAATTTCGCGATGGAAAAGGCGACGATTGTTAAGAACACCTTGATTCGGAATAGTGACAATTGTACAGAATGTAGGTGTAAACCATACGCACCTTCTCCTACATCAGCTCTTTCCACTGATATAATAAACATACACTTCTGTAAAGCAATGTAACGTATTACGCTTCGTATAAGAATGTCTATAATGGTGTAATTTAAAGCTACCGACAGCAAGACGTGAAGTGAAAACATCAGCGTTATCACTAGTCTAAGCATTTACCATAATGTTTACTCTACAATCTATCAACACGGTAACCAATCCTATCACAAGACTGCTTATTCAATAGATTTCATTTATGTCTGGTTTGATGGTCACAAAATAGAAATTGAAAGTCAACCGCTTTGCATTCACTAAATTTTGTGGTTGGTGATAATTGATTTCCTGCTCGCTTTAACTTGCAGCGGTAGCCTGTTCCAGGGCGTTCAAAAAGTAATACGAAACGCGAAAGAAAACAGCGCGATAGTAGCGGAGGAGTGAAAAAACGAGGAGATTTGGGTCGAGTGAGGTCGGGTCGCGTAATAAAGTACTTGACCCCACAGTGTCTTAGCCCTGCCGCTCTGCTTGTGCTATTTACGAACTGAATGCCTGAAACAGGCTCCTGCAATGCAGGCAAAAGCGAAAGTTATGGCTGGCTAACCTAAGCCTAAAATGTGGAATGACCAATCACCTGTTTAGTTTCCATGATCACGTGAGGAATCGTTATCTTCCACAAGCTGAGGTCACGCGTCTCCTTCTCTTCCACTTCTTCACTTTCTTCACTTTGCCAGTCGAAATCCTAATAATAATAATAATAATAATAATAATAATAATAAAAAGAAACTAAAAGAAGAGATACCCGTTTCAACATCAGTGTTCATGATAATGTTGTTCATTACATTGCTAACCAACATCCAAACTATTCCAGGGTGAGACATGGTTTGATGCTACTCTGGTTTACAGATTTAATGAATGTAACCGAAGAAGTTAACTTCAAAACCAGAGTAGCATCAAACCACGTCTGATTGTCCACCTGGTTGCCGTGTGAACTTTAATATATTTTATTCCAGAGTGTTTACACTATTTAGTGATTTGGGGAAAAAGTTGTAGAGCGTTACCGGAGGTGTATCCGGGATATCAAACGGGTCCTCTTCATACGGTGAATCATCTGCAGTGAAAAAAATTCAGTGGAGTCAATACCTTAAAAGAGTATCCTTATGATTAAAAAAATTAACGTTGGAGAATTTACAGAGCTGTTGCGTGAAACTTTAGTCAAGAATTATTGAAATCCCCAAAAGTTCCACAAACAAAGTAAAAACATGGTATAATGGAAAAATCGGGTGTACCTAATTTCGTATTACATGTTTAAAGCAACTTATAATACTTTTCGACCTACGACAAACAAAGTCACTTTACTTTTACTAACCTTTGTTCGGATTCATTACTTTATCTTTCAACTTTCCGGCTAACCTTGAAAACTCGGCCAAAGGATCGAACTTCTTCTTTGAAGCCCTGCAACAAATGGAAAGGAATATCTTGCTTTCCCTCATTCTGTCACGTCGAAGTTAACTTGGTCAGCGTCATTTTCAGTTACAAACAGATGACAACTCATAAGAGATATCGTTGATTAAAATGAAAACGAAGCGACTGAATAGGTTTCTTTACCTTGAAGTCGGTTTGTTCAAAGATTTGGCCGGCAATCGGCTTCCACACAATAGTGTAAAATACTGCAGATTGAAATGAATGCTCGAGCCTTAACGTTGAAAATCAGTGGTTAAAAGCAAATTCAAGTCAAGGAAAAGTACGCTGATTAGCAAGACAATGCTGAATATATGCGATTTGTGCAAACAACTGTGTCCTATGATAACAAGAATTATATACGAAGGTGCACGTATCTACAGACAAACAAACAAACAAATAAATGCAAATTAGAGGGAAAAGAAATTTATAGAGGGGTAAGTTTCTAAAGAAACTGTGGTGCTGCGTCGGTGGGAGAGTATAGCAGGTAATTTAGTGTTGACAACTGGGTTGAAAACGTAAATTAGCCACCGTATGAGGGTAACAACAACAACCTATTCCTCGAAACGTCAGCTTTTTTACCCTTTACGGTGGCTAATTTACGTTTTCAACCCAGTTGTCAACACTAAATTACCGGAAAAGAAATTTGCCGACAAAGAAGGTACAATGCGTGTAAATGATTCCCTCCACAATGTGATTTTTGTTTTCGAGACGAAATGTTATAGGTTCTTGCAGGATCACATGACAAATTCATTCATAACTTATTTCACTCTTCCTATTTCATTTTCGTTGAAGTAAGTTTGGTAAAGTTTATGTTGTTTGTAAATGTCTGCATTTGTCACCTACTCAGAAACGCCTATCTGGGAAAAATTAAGTATGTAAAACTATGTGTGATTTCAAGAAGGGGCCTTTTATCATCGTGGAAACTTAAGATACATCAATAAATTTATCTTTACAAGTACTTACATCATCGCTCTGGTAAAACAGGGGCAGAAAAGTTGTCTCTAAAAGATTGTAAGCATGTTCACAGGCCCTGAAATATCGATCGAGAACTAATCACAAAGACAGCATGTAGATGAGGTTGAGTATAAAGTAATGTAATCAAATGTTTATCAGGTTGGTGCGGACAGAGACTGAGTTTAGTTAACACAACCCTGAATAACAAAACTACAACAAAAAATTATACATCTGTTTTCAAACCAACGTAAAATTGCTTCAACTGCTACGGTTAAAATTAACTTACTTTGACAGAAAAGAAGCTATTTTCAATCTCTCCATCTTGTCAACAGGAGCATTAATACCTGAAATAAAGTAAAACAAACGACAAAAGTTTCATGACAGAACAACAAAAACTGTAACTGACACCCGCACTAGAAGTCTGCATTCAGTTAAATGTAAAATACGAGGTCCAACACAGAGAAAAGGTAATTATTACTGATCGTAAACAAGCCCCATCTAGTCATATCTAAAAGAAGAGGTTTCGTAGTAAAACTTGGGAACAGGTCGGTCAGGTTTCATTTTCAGCCAAAAAAATCTTTCTTACCGCTGATTTCGGCGTTTAAACACTTACAGTCTTGTAACCCTTGAACCATATCTGGATCAAAGTTGATTCTGTCCACAGCTCCATTATCGAAATATGAACTGAAGATCTCTCTGACCTATGTAACCAAAGATGAACAATGGTCTCAAAACATATCCAAAGATACATACCAGTGATTTGGTAAAAAAGGCTATAAATTAAGACACATGCAGATCTTACCTCTTTTAATATAGATACTTTCTCTTTTTCTGTTTCTTCAGAAGCAAATATCCTTTTATTGAAATCCTCTGCAACATTTGTAGAACAAAACATAAGCAAAATTGTTGGACAAAAACCCTCTAATAGACAATTTTTAATGCTACATTGTTGTATTACTAGAAAAAAATTACAGTGTGGGTAAATCTAAATGTTAAATGAAATTAACATACCAACAGTAAGACAGAACTGGAGAATGTTTAGCGCTCCTTCGCTTTTCATAAACTGCATGAAAGGAAACAGGGCGGACTGGGTATGAAGTATGTCTGCTATGGAAAGATGAAGAGCCTGGAAAATAAACAAACATACAAACTAGCAAGTGTAATTATCTCACATTACTCAGAGAAGATGTTTTGCCTTTAAGAGAAAGAAAGCTAAATATTGCAGTGCTAGGCACTTAACTATTAGTGGTTATATTCCACATGCTAAATTTTTGCACAATTTATTGCTTGGACTCAAGAGCTTTTTTTTTGTCTCAATGACAGAATCTGAACTTTTAAAATATCTGTCTCCATAATATTCTTGAAGTTTGAACCTTCCTCTTTCACCAGAGAGAACATAACATAACAGTACCAAATTAAGGAATGCTAGTGGATACAGCTATTATATGACCTTTCTAACAAAGGTGACATCTGTATCAATTCTGTCACAATTCAAATTCCTCCCTGTGTGACATGTCCATGATTCACAACTTACCGAGCTCATAACTGGAGTCCTTGGTTTGGCAAACTTAGCAAAATTTTAACACCAAATTATAAAATTGACAGCCGGTTTTGCTTTGTCAAACCAAAAATCGTTGAGCAAGTAATGGCACTTTTGGAGAGAGTGGTTCTTCTGAGGCAACCATCTGAGACATAGACATGACTTTGGTTTGAATAATATTACGAGAATTAATTGAATAACCCTTCTTACAGCATTACCCAACATGAAAGCAAAGTTAAAACTAAACAACTACTTTAATACTTTATAAACAACAACTATAATGTGACATGTTGAAAAGAAACACCTACAGGTTCTTTGTCCAGAAGTAGAAGAAGCATGTTATTCACAAAATCCTGAAAAGTTTAAAAAAATTAAGTTATCATAAAAAAGTGTAGTATTTTAAAATTATAGCATTGCATTTAAAATGAATCAGACCATAAATTACAGTCAACTTTTTAACAGTGAACTTACCGGATCTGATAGTTTGTCAACTGCTGTTAAAAAGACTGCACTGGCTAACAGTTCTCGCAGTAAGGACAAAAGACTCCTGAAATTTAATAAGATCTGGTTAAAGCAATACAGAAAATCTTAAAAACAAATTAAATAATAGACTATTCAATGGATTGCTTACTAACGTGTACTCTGTGTGGTTTGGTGAAAAAAGAAATGTTATGGCCACAACATACCTACACTGCAAGGAATTTGGAGGTAATATAACAGGAATAATAGACTCTGACAGTTTCCTCAGATAGTGAAGTTCCATTTGACGACTCTGCAGTGCACAATGCATCTTGGGTCCAAAGCGATCTAAAATGGCTGTCTGGATGTTGGCTGCAGAGCCTGATGCTGTGACTGGATGAATACAACAAACAGTTACTTTTAGTCTTGTGAATTAATTATTTCTATTATAAACTCCATGTTATCATTATCATTATTATTCTATACAGATAAAGAGCACTGCTGGGTGATACCTTTTTGTTTTGTTGTCAAATACATCTCTAAATGCTTCAAACCTTCCTTGCCAACATTGTTAATAACAAAAGTTGGGAGATCAACCTGAGGAGAGAACAGATATTGATAGTAGTTCATGTATTGGGCTGGCAAAGAAGCATTGCTTAGCCTCATTGTAGGCTGAATTCCCAGACCTGGTGTCATATGGCTATGCTAGTTGTTTTTTTGCCTTTTCTAACATTTCAAACATTCATTTACAGTTTGTAACACAGGAAATGTACCTTTTGTATTCTCTTTAACAACACTGCAGCCATGTATCTAATGCTTGCACGGATTTCATCCACACATATTTCACTACAGCTTAACTCTCTACAGGACAGTGAAGTGAAATACAATTAGGGCAGAATTATTTTTAACAACAGTTTTATTTTAAGTATTCTAAATACATGTATGCATGATTCAAAACTGGTATACCAGTTTGCAGCCAACTCTCTTAGTGACAAATTGAATTTCAAAATGAAATACAGGAAAACTGTTCATTTTTTATTTAATTGCTACCTTAGTCTTTCTTGTATATGAATGTAACCAAACATTTGGGTATAAACTCTAAATATGTAGGATTTGAATCATATGACATGTCTGTGATTATTGGACAGGAAACTCAGTAAAATATCACCTGGAGTAACTTTAAAGTAAATTATGATATAAATTATTTACATTTTACATTAATCTTTCTCTTCTATTATTAAATAAGAAAAAGTTTACCTGTACCAGCTGTACACATAGTTTTGAAGTAAAAGACCAAGAAACTGAAAATAAAAGGATACAATTACATATTAAATAAAATCAGCAAACAATATATACCTTATCAAAATGTAGTATGTCTGATGAGTGAATTCTATAAGTACAAGTCAGTAATCACATTCTATGACAAACCTCTTGTAATGCGGCATCTACAGATTCTGGAATAAAAAGGTCTTCCCATGGCTACAGATAAAAGAGAAGCAAGATTAGGAAATGGCTTACTTTGATCACTTTGTTGCTAAATTTAATATGAAATACCATTGGAAGATAATTTCATCCACCTAAAGTTAATTCCCTCAGTTGCTGATCATCTTAACTTAAGTGATAACAAACCTGCATTCAAACACCTTGGTCCTTACATCTTACAGCCACTTTTCAAAGTCATGAAATTTTCCCTAAGTCACACCAGTCACTTTTGTTTAGAATAATATACTAGTTATCCCTTAATAGTTGACTTCCAGAAATGATTCACTTGTAAATTCTCCCTATAGTATCCCCATCCAGCAAACAGGTAATGAGAAAACTCAAACTTATCAGGTATAGAAAGTGTTACCTTAATTTAACACATAATTCTTGTAACTAATTTGTAGGGAAATATTTAGCAGCCAGAGGGGAGAATCATCAATCAGATCTTGGGAGTTAAGGGCTCATAAGTGACAGAAGCATTCCAAGCTGCAGCATTCCATTCCCAAGAACTAAAAGTGTACTTTTGCCATTTGGAATTCTTTTTATGATGTCAGAAGCAATGTTAGTCTCTACCCACGAGAGTTCAGGGGAATAGCGTTGACCTTAAACATTATTAATAATTATTGCCAGAGCAAAAAGAGTGAAATATTAGTTGTGATACTTTTACCTTTAGCTTGGCTCTTGAAATCTCTGGTCTTTGTGCATTAAGAAGGAAATAATAAGATAATTAAAAAAAATTAATTTTTTATCACCCAATATATGTACATCAAAGGATTTAGTTATATCTGAAATTGAAAAGTGTAAATGTGCCTGAAGTAAGTCAATAAAATGTTTTGCCATTTTCAAATATAATTGGCATGCAAAGAACAAAGAATTTGTGATATTGTTATATACCTGTGACGTTGGCATTTTCTATTACCACAAATGGTACACTGCTTGGATGAGGATGCCTGTAACTTTTCACCTTCTTCATAATACTGTAGAAAAAGAGATTTTCACAAACCATCAATAAATTTGTATACTATTAGGTATATCACTATTTATATCCACTCTTAATTCAACTACTAACACACGGCTAACATTCTTTCGGTTGGCTGATGTACAATACCACTAGGCTCCTAAAGTAGAAACAGTTTATTATAATACAGTCAAGTACCTTTTTGCGAGGGCCCCAGTGCAGTAGTACAGAGGGTAAAACTGAACAATAACTGGATATAAACAAGTCAAGATATGCAAGTGTTAGTAACATTAAGAACTACCAACTTAGAAGCTTAACAGAGAAAAAAATTATTGTTAAGGTAACAACTAAGAATTAGATTCATGCACACTTTTTGAAGTTTTAAAAGTTTTGTAACATAAAATGCAGGTCTCCTTTTCCTGGTTAAATGAAACTTTGGTCTCTTTAGACTTGAGCCAGTGCTGGTAATCAGCATCTCAGTTTGGGCATGCCCTTTAAAATCATATCCCAGATTTAGTGAGTAAGTTTTGCTTTCCAGCTGTTCATTCACTATAAGTAAACTATTACCATGTATTTACTGCAAGATTTGAATATCTATGAATATGATGATCAAACTTTACCTAAAGACAAGGAATCCTACTGCAACTCCAAAGGCAAGAATCCATATTCCAATGACTAATGGGGGACAACTAGTTACAAAAAAAGCTTAGAGTTACATTGATGCAAACACGTAATAACAATTTTTTTTGAAGAATAATCCAAGATATCTATAGATACCAATTTCCTTATATGGAGTAAGAGCGATATTCATAGTTGATCTCGTTACCGATATATCTCTCCCTAAATTATTCCGACCCAAACCCTAAAAACCCCCTTTCTAACTAACACCCCTCATCAATATCAACTACTAATACTAAGCTTAATACGTCTACAGTAAGCTTACAACATGTCACATGATCTTAAGTATTGGTATTTGAGTTGGACGTGAAAATATGGGTTCATAGAAATTTGTTAACTTTATAAGATCATAATCAACTAACAGCTTCAAAATCAAAATTGAAACAGAGAAGATAACCATAGACATACTGTGATCACTGATCTTCTCAGCTGGGCTACTTACGTACCGGTTACCAAATCACAGCTCATTTTGGGTAGGGTGCTGATCAAACAACAAATATGAAAAAATTTGTAATAGAATACTAACCTGTAAAACTGGAACGTGAAGATAATCACAAAAAATGCTCCTGAAGCCAAAACGGGTCGAATTGTTTCTAGATTTTGACGATCCGATCTGATCATTTCGTAGACTACAGTGCCGTCATCCTTTTTATGTAGTACCCCTTGAAAAATCGAAGGCTCTCTACTTCGACGGACAGGTTCAACTTGCTTACACAAAGTAGTACACACCATTCTCTGCCCAGTCTCTTCGCAGGTTAAAATCCAACATGGACGACAAGCCGGTAGGTCGTGTGTATAAGGTGGTTCTAAAACTCTGCTTTAATACCTCAATAAGAAGCAATTTTCCTTTGAAAATTATCTAATCGAATTATTTCCATAAAATTTACTTGTCACCGTTTTATCCCACCTTTACTTAAAATGCAATTGCAGAAGGGAAACACGCGTGTTTCCTTCATGTACAGCTATGTACAGCTGTATACTCATCCTTATGCAGCAGTTATTCACTCGATATCTCTATTTTGTAGGCTAAAAAATCAAGGAAAAGAAAACGGCCAAAATCAGTTTCTGGTAAATAAACACCTTAGTTACACATAGTCTTTTTCTTTTTCTATACATGTATTATTCACGAAACACTGTATCACAATCGTTTCTGGTTATGCAGGCAAATTGATCCAGAACATAAATTTCGTTGTTATCAATTTTTTTTCCTGTGGCAGAACCAGTAAAGAAGAGAAAAAAAAGTAAGGAGAAGAGTGAGAAGGAAGTGCAGAAGGTGAGTGAAAAAAGCAGAAGGACTTCAGCAGATTTTTTACTAGAGAACAGAGATTTTTATTGATGACTAGATATTTAAACAGTCCTACTCACAAAAGAGAGACTATTTAATGTGTTACACCTTAACATCAGTATGCATATTTTATATGCTGTTTTCTATACATTTCCTAAGGTAATGGCAAGGAGAATTTGTTTAAAAATCAAGAGCCTTCATTCTGGTGACCTTAATGTGTGACTTGAGGTGATATTGTAAGGAGAAATGTGAAGGTGTGTGAAATTAGCTATTTGTGATTCTATGAATTTTATTATCATCCTTTAGCCAAAGATTATCCCTCATGCACATCAGTTGTTCAGGGTTGGAAAAAACACCAAAGAAAGAATTAAGATCTCAAAATTAGCAGATCTGATTTTCTTTGCATCCCTACGAGATGTTGATCCCAGATGCCAGTCTTGTCAGTCCTGGTGTCAGATAGAAGGTGCTGATAAAGTCCACAAAGTCATCATCATTCTTGTCAGTGGTGTGGGAGCAAAGGAATTTATTGAAAATAAAGATTGTTTTCCCAAATGTAGCAGCTTCTTTGAGTTGGTAAGATTTTTTATCTGGTGTGTTGAGACAATTAAATGTTAAATGGTTTCAACCAATTTTGCTTTGATTTTATTTCCTTTTTCAGGGCTTAAACACCAAAGCATCAGGAACAGACTTTAGTGTCAAACTTCCTCATGAGAGCTTACTTTTTGTTGATATGCCAAAGAAAGAGTTAAAGAAATTGAGGAAAAGGCTGGAAAAGAGTGAGTGTTTAACCAAATGATGTACATGTTAATCTGTTTCAGATGTGATGATTTTCCTCAATATATTTTTGTTATGATTTTGATGTATAGATCAGTGATTATAATTGATCCACCTGTAATTTGAAATCTTATTCAGCTAAATTTGGTAGAGAGGATTACAAATTAACTCTGGAGGAGATGCATGAAAATAACTTTCCACTGCCAAGTGCTGTCAGTGACAAGAATGGGGAAACAGAACATGATGGTATTGGTGATAAATGCATATAATCTAGATATTAATAAGATACATGAAAAAAATTACTCAATTCTGATTAGTTTAAGATAAATGCAGTTTTCAGATAATTCATGCAGAAGAAGGTTAACTCAGTGCAAAGAAGTAACAAAACAGACTTAACAATTCCTTGAACTGTTTAGCCAGACTTTGAACTTTTTTGCGCCTTAAAGAACTGATGTGAAAATATTAATAAGCACTTGTAAATTTTTTCAAAGACCACAAATTGCACTCGTCCTACTGGCTTGTGCAATTTTGTTAGTCTTTGAAAAAATTTACTCATGCTTATTGCACTAAAAATTGCACAAGAAACCATATGATTACCTATACTAATGATAACAGGTAATTGATATTTGTAATTTTAACCCTATCATTCCTATGAGTGACCAAGAAGGAATTTCTCCTTACATGTGAAATAACTGTCATCAAGGTACAATGTAGAGAAGGTCACCATAGCAACTGGGCCACAGGGTACCAGGATATGGAATAAAAATCTGATATAGAATATGGGATAAGGGGAGGAGATGAGGGTTGCAAGTTTGCAAGTAAAGGCAAAAAAATTAGGTCGCTCTGCAGTTTCATTAACACTAGTTTCCTTGTTTTTAGGGTTTATTTCAACTAAACCATTTAAGAAGTCTAAGAAATCTCCAGAGTCACCAATGTTTGCAATCGATTGTGAAATGGTACTGTATGTTCACAAAATCATATCAATTATTCAAGAATTATAGATAAGAATTAATTGTTCTTCCATGTAAAGTGGGATTGGTAGTCAGTTCTATTAATCAATAAAAACTGACCTCAGTTTTAACGGCCACATTGATTGATTTGTTGTCATTCATGTGTTTACTAGTGTAAGTCATCACTTGGAAAGGAACTCACAAGAATATCATTGGTTGATGAATCATGTAGGGTGGTTTATGACACACTTGTAAAACCACCCAGGCCAATAGTGGACTACAAAACAGAGTAAGTGACAGAAACAAATTTTCAGGGGCAAATTTACCTTAAACTATGTGTGTGATCATGATAAATAGTTTGGGCAGTTTTTAACTTACATTATGGACCTTGAACTTGGCTTATAAGAGAAATGCAGCAACTACTCTTGAATCAGTATTTCCCAAATTTTATTTGTTAACTTAGTTTTTCACATCAATTTCAATTATTAAGGTTTCCACCCTGTTGTGATACTTTTTTTTGTGTAGGTTTAGTGGAATCACTGCAGAAATGCTGGAGAATGTAACTACAACGTTAACTGATGTTCAGAAACATTTGGTAGATATTCTACCAGCAGATGCCATTCTTTTAGGGCATTCACTAGAGTTTGACCTCAGAGCCCTTAAGGTTGGCAATAATTTGACATTTATTTCAGTCTGTAATGGAAGTGCGTGCAACGCACTTTTTTCTCTTTTTAAGAACCAGTTTAATCATGTCATAATATAGTATGGTTCTAATATTTCTTGATAAGATTCTGTTTTGTTTGTGATTTACTTGTTATTGAATTTCCTTCTTTGTTATCTTATTTTATTCATGGTTCAGGGATGTTTTGCCCCAATGCAATTTTGCCCCCCACCACCCTTGTGAGTTCACCCTCTGAAGGAGAACCATTTTGCCACCTCCTCCAGCAGTTTGTCCTCAAATATTACACCTTATATCTGTATGGTATAACATGGTACTTTGCACATTCCAGATCTCTTTGTTCATTTACCTATTTGATTTTCAGCTCTATCACACAAGAGTGATCGATACTTCTCTCCTTTATGGAGACTGTCAAGGAGTACCTTTGTTTAAATCATCATTACGGAATCTTGCTCGTCAGCATTTAAAGTAGGTTTTTCAAATATTTCTCACAGCTCATTCACTCACCACTGATTGCAGGATGGACTTTTTTGGTTAACAACTAATCTGTTAATTTGGCAATAAATTTATATGAGACAGGATTGAAAACTTTATCTACAGTATTAAATTTAAAAAAAAAGTTACATATACATTCATAGCAGTTAATTTTAGTTAAGTTCTTTTTTTTCTGAAGGAAGGATATTCAGAATGGAGAAAGTGGTCATTGTTCAATAGAAGATGCAAGAACCTGCATGGAATTAGTTCAGCTTAAAATTAAAAATGGTCAGCATTTCAATTTTTACCAACTTGTTGGTTGTCATCAGTTTATTATCTTTTTCTGTCATTAAATCTTTGTTATTTTCTCTGCTCTTTCCTTTTTCAGGTCCTAACTTTGGAAAAACCTTGTCAGGAAAGGAAGGGTATGAAGTACATGTTGTCTCGAAATTTACCTGCAGCACAGTTTAGAGGACTTTGCAAAGGCATTTACAATTGAAGACATTAGCCCTCTTGTTTTTGCTATTGACTCTTTTTATATTAAAATTAAAAGTTTGATATTCAACATCAAATAAATCATTGCATATGTTTTTAACCATGATTTGCTTCTCTAATCAGATTTTTCAAGCAAATTGAACGTAGTAGGAAAAGAGGTAGCTGAGTTTTCTACTGTACTGGTGAACCTTGCCACATTTTCACCACAATATTATGATCTATTAACACTTTTTGATTACCAAGTTTCTTGGAAACTTTTACTTTTTAGTACTACCAGAGGAGTTAGCAGGGTACTAAAAGTTTTCCCGTTTACAACAACTCTCTTTTAGATCTTTCAAAGTAAAAAAAAATTCCTTCATGTCACTTTTATTCGTCCAGTTGATTTTAAACAGAAATTGAATGATTGTTGATCCCATTCCTTGCATGATATTGATAACTTCAAGAGTATTACCCCCTCCCCCTCCCCCTCCCCCTCCCCCTCCCCCTCCCCCTCTCCCCCTCCCCCTCTCCCCCTCTCCCCCTCCCCCCCTCCCCCTCTCCCCCCTCCTGCATCATTATAGCCATATGGCTCAGTGGTGCTATTACATAATGGAGGCCACCACTTTTTCCCTAATAAAGATGCTCTTTTGGACGTGAGGTTGATAATGATCTCAGTCAAATGAAATAACTAAATAAAGGTTGATTTTTTAACAGCACCTTTACAGAATTACATTTAGGGAACTATCGTCTCTCTCTTAAAACTTTTTACACATAAACCAAAGAGAAGTGTTGAGCTGTCTGTTTTGTCATGTTGTAGGATCCATCCTAGATTTTCCCGGAGTAGTAAAAAAGTTTGGCAAAGGCGCAACACATGCAGTAACTTGCACTTCAGATGAAGAGGTGGGACTTATGCGACGGTCTAGAGATTACAGATTTAAATGTGTGTGAGGCATTGATATTGTTGAGGCTGTTTTTTCACATAATCAGAAAATGCTTCGGCACAGAAATTGCCGCAGCCCCGAGAATCAAATC